CCACAGAAATGGAGGTGAGTGTTTTGAAAAAAAGTGCTAACTCACATATACCTCCATCTTCGCAAACAAATTCCACAAAGGTCATGTAAATTTTGAAGAACCTGCGCGAAAATAACCTTGTGATAAAGTTTATAGTAGAAGAAATGAAAATGTATCCAGTCTTCATTATAATGCGATGCTCTATTTATGTTGCAGCTTCAGTTTAGTTTTAGCAGATGAAGTTGATTGTTATGCACGGTATAAAATTAAGAGTTATCCAAGAATCCTTTCGAGAGAATACAGATTTGGTTTTTTCTTATAGATAGTAAATTATACAAGAAAAAGTTTTCGTTTTTGTTCTCTGATCGTAATTGCGTATTGATAGTTAGTTTACGATTTGAATTCATGTTTTTTTGCTATTTTTTGTATCTTTTCTTGTGCTGCTGCTGCTGCATCTAGTGCTCGTTTTGCTTCTTTTTCAGCCTCATGTGCTTCTCGAGCTGATTTTTCGCTGCTTTGTGCTAATTGTTTTGCGACTGTCATAAGATTTTCACTTTCTCGTTTTTGTACATCCAATTGATCTCTTGATATTTTTGCTGTTTCTTTTGCTGCTCGTTCAGATTCTTTGGCATTTGTTGCTGCTGTTTCTATCACTTGTTTTAATCGTTCCAGATCCTGTTGAGCTTTTGTACGTACATCACCTAGAGACCGTTCATATTTGTCTTTTTGTTCTGCTATTGTGCGTTGAACCTGTTGAACACATGAATCGGTAGTTGACTTCATTACTTGTCGTTGTTGTTCCGTAGAGTCAACTAATTGTTTTGCTTGTCTATTGGCTTGTGTTGCTTTTTCAGCTGACAGTTCACTTGATTCTGACGCTTTCTGTGCCACTTGAAGAGCATTCAACGATTCTGATTTCGACAATTTGACAATTTTATTCATTTCATCACATTTTTCTCCTAACCGTCGTTCAATTTCATCCAGACGTTTCAGTATTGTTCTTTCCAAACGTTGTTCAATTTCTCTCAAATCTTCTGTCAATTTCTTTGATT